AGCTTGCACTGAGAGTTCTATGGAAAATTTCTAACCCCTTTTTAATCATTTAAGGGGGTTTATATACAAGGTTTGTACAAAGGAAAGAGCGAAAATAAAGAGGTTACAATTGATTTGAACTGCAATTCTCATATTCTCGCGATTAGGCGTTGTGATTGCGCAGAGATTATTGTTAATCTGGTCATTCCCATAATATCTAGGATCTGAGATTATCTGGGAATTGATTGAATGATCATTCAGGTTGTTCGCGACTAGCTTGTGCTGGATCGAGCTATATGTCGATGAGCTTATGTTGGGTTGGACAATCGATAAAGTCGGTGTGATTCTGGGTCGATCTAATACCTTGAAACTCACCGACCTTGATGGAAAAATCACACACAACATAGGGTATTCAATGAGTCATTAGGATTAGTCGAGATACGTGCAAGCTGATCTGAATACCTCAGTTATAAAATGATAATAATAATAATTTGTACAAAGATATTATTTAAATAAGTTATTTGTTAAAATGATTATTATTTTGTTCTTTTAACGAGGTCCGGGTGCCATTCTTATATTATTTGGCGAATTCAATCTTTAGATTAAGGGTTGCTAAAAATTTTAGATTGAGAGAGTAATGAATGCATGTTTATATAACATTATTCTCTTTATATAGTGTTGTATACAGATCGTTATATCTAAAACGTACTTTAGATATTAATTAAAGTATATAATCATCGATCTCTGGCATAGAATGATAATATATATATATATTACTCAATGGATATGTATTTACTCTTTGTAGTAGGATTTTGTACAAGGATAAGAATAATAGTGTTACCTCTTAGACTAGGTATATATTTTCTTTTTCTTCTTAAAATAAATATCCTTTGCCAATAAGAAAGTAGCTTGATTTATAAAATTATAATCACCAAGAAACACAAATTTGATTGGATGATCCTGTTGATGCTTATTCTGTAAAATGCTTTGACTGGTCTAAAAATATTGTTCCTTAAGAATCAACCAATGAATGAATGTTTGATGATGTCAATAATATTAAATATATAAGCATATTCTTGTTCACAATGCCCCTGCACCACTGTTGTGGTTAAAAATATTAAACTATAAATCTCAACAAAAATTTGATTCGATTACACTATTCTTTCAATCTCACTTTTCAGATTTTTCCTATACATATAACATTCAATCTCTAAAGTTAATCCCTATAGCATCTACTAAGATCTTCAATTGGTCATCTTTTAAGTTAAAGCTTGTGGATGTAACATTTTGTCAACCACTATTTTCAAGTTCTTCTCTGCAGTGCCTAAGTTTTCTCTTAGTTTGACTGATTTCCTAGCTAGATAGATGGACGAAAACAATCCCTTGAGTATCAAGATTTAGTAGGAATAAATTCAGGAATTTAAGTTAGATTCGACAGGAATAGATAATATCCTATTGGATTTACTTAGCTCTCAAGAAGTATAGATAGTATGAAGTTTTTAATGTGCAGATGATGAATAAACCAGTGGTTTTTAATGGGCAGAGTTTTTGTGGTGATGGGGTGTGTTGTCGGCGCCAGAAACATACCCTATTTGGCCTCGGTTGTCGACTTATAGGGACTTATGGAATTTTTAGGAGTGTTTTTGTCGGATTTCAAACTATTTTACATGATGACATCATCGGTCAAACCAGTTCAACGGGTCAACTCAGGACCCGATCACTTTGCCAGGTTTCAGCCTGAGTCGGGTTTTAAAACCTTGGAATAAACAACCAATCGTTGGTTAAACAAAATGTAAAAATTAGAACTAGTGACTTGTATTTGATCTTTGGTTTGCATGCGTTAAAAAATGTGATACCTCCATATTTAAGATGAACTTGAGTTGGAGTGTATATAAAACCCTTATTTACAAGTAAATTTTATGAGAATCGCTATTGTAAATCTAAGTTAAAAGTTATATGAATGCTAAGTTTATTCTATATCTTTCAAACCCACTTTTTAAAAAGATACCAAATGCACTCTTTTAAGTTAATGAACAAGTGTTAAGATAACTTCCACCTACAAAAAGCATGAGCATAGATTAATTAAGTTGTTATTATGTAATTTGCTTTTGAATTAGAATAACGAAAGAAGAAAGGTACAAAGGAGGTGCATATTGCAAGGTTTCCAAATTGCAACCAATCTCAAAAGAAATTAGTATAATTACATTAATTAATTACTTTAATTACAATTTGGTGGCAAAGCAATTAATTATTTATACAAAAAAATTAGTGGAAAAGTAGTTAGCTTTTTCTCTTGGCACTTGGCATCACATGGGTTCTGGTGGTCCATAAACTAGAGAACATGTGGTCCCTTTGAATTACTTATGGAATTACTAAATATTCTTTTTAATATTTATATTATATAGTACAAATGAAGTTGGTGACAATGAATTACCTTATATTAACATCATTACTTCCCCTTTTAAGAATTATATTATTATTCTTTTTTTTTTTTTTGGGTCTAAAAGCAATCCCCTTTTATAGCATAAATTATTAATAAATATGGTTTATTTATTTATTTATTTTAGTAGATCGAAAATTATATATAGTTCTAAGAAATTGACCTAAACTTAGCTTCATGTATGTTGATGCTTGATATTTGTTTAAGTAGATGTTAAAATTTAAAGTGGTTTAGTGGAGTGTCAGATTAAGTGATCAGGTGATCTAAATAAAAAGTTAGAACCTTTTAAGGAGAGGTCAGGATTAAAAGTTCTGAATATCATTGTGATGCTCTCAAATTAGAACGTTTATAAAGAAAAATAGAACGATCAAGAGATTCGATGATAGTGACCGGTGAAAAGGATTTAAATGCTCAAATCCGTATTCAATTACCAAAATTTCTAAAGATAGGAACTTTGAAGTAGAACAAAATAAGAAGAGAGTATAAGTTAAGAGTTTGTCAACCTATATTTAAGAATTGGAGCCTAGAAGTAGAGGTAGGAATTGTATGATGATGACTTAGCACCATTTAGTTAAGTACTATATACCACATGTCATTAGTAGATTGGGTTGCATTTGTTAGAATAACCTTTTCGGGGGCCCAAGAGATATTATGCGCATCCCATATTCATATATAAAGGGAAAGTATAAATTCTAGAGGACCTTATTGTCCCCTTTTTACAATGCAACTTTTCTTGTAGAGAAAAGATTTTCACTTAACCACCCTTAGATGGTCTGATAGTAAAAGAGGAAAAAAAGATTTCATGAACTTCTGAGTTTAAGTCTTCCCAAACATTAATAAGGATAGTCACTAGAGCTATTATCCGACTAACAATTCTAGAGCCTCAGGGGATTAGTTGAGGTGCGGATAAGCTGATCGGACACCTAGTGATAAAAAAAAAAAAAAAAAAAAGATTTTCACAATGAAAAAAAATTAAAATACTAAATCAGTATCTTCCTCAATTATAAGTTGTCTATTGTTAATCTTTGGTACCATATTGATCACATTTAGATTTCTAATTTGAGTACTTTACCCACAACTTGGGCTTTACCCCCAAGGGCCCACTTATACATGTGGGTCAAATTTGGTTCAATTCAGGCCCAAATAAGCCGTTAAAAATAATTTTAATCAAACTAAAAAACAATATATAAAAAAAAGTTGGGTAATTTGCCTTAATTTACAACGAATAATAACTAAATAATAAAAAGATAGATAAAAGATCATGGAGGCCGTACAAGCTGAAAATGATTCCTCTAAAAGGCAGATAAACTAATTAATTAATTAAAGTAGTAGAATTATTTTGAATCATAAGTAAGCAATTGCACAAGGTGGTACGTGTGCAGAACAAGCTTATTTTTATTTTATTTACTTAGGATAAAATTTATGGTTGAGAGAATATAAATCATAGGCTAAAGCGGATCTTGTTCAAAGCATCACTACTTTTTAATTCTACAAGTATTAATTAATATTAAAAGTTGCTTTTGTTAAAGGGCTTTGAACCACATTAATTGTTCTAAATCTAATCAAATATTTTATTTTTAATTTCAATAAATAACCAAATTGATATACGACAATTGTTACCATTTTCATAGGCCCATCAAAGCCCAATAAAATGATAGAAAGAATCAACTATGGGTGCTTTGATAGGCTATCATGGATTCTGTTCTTGGAGTTGTAAAAAAATTTCAAAGAAGAGTTTGCTCTTATAAAATTAAAAATACTAATTTTCAAACATTACCACATTGGTTTTTTTTTTTTTTTTAATGACTGGAGGTGTCTGGACCAACTTATGTGTATCTCAACTAATCTTCCGAGACTCTAGAATTATCGGCTGGATAAGAGCTCCAGTGACTACTTTTATTAACAATTGAGGAATGACTTGAATTCAAGACCTCTTGAGTAATACACCTAAGAGTCTATGTCAAAACATATTGATTTCATTGTAATTAATTTACCTTTGGCCCTTTGATTTGACTTGATGCCTTTTTTTTTTTTTATTAATAAATAAGTATTTATTCATGATGGAATTTAGCAAATTAAACATGTAGTTGACAAGTGTCCGTATCCTCATGCACTTGAATAATTTATTCATGATTTTCAGGTTTTTGTTTTATGCTTCCATTTTAAAATTGTTTATGCTTTTTTCACTGAAAATTATAATTTATTTATTTACTTTTAGCTTAACCCACTTCATATTATCACTAGAAATATTATTCTTAGCACATGTCATTATATTTTAAATTATTATTGGACATTTTACATATTTTAATTCAAAAGTTAAATATATAAAAAAAATTATTAAAGAAATCATATGATAATCTTACAAATATTATTTATTATGATTTTAAGACTATTAACATCATTTTCTTCATATATTTTCAAATTCATCCATTAATTTAAAATTAAGAATATAAAATGCATTTTACAGGCCCATCAAGCCCCATATGAACTTGATACTGAACCCATGGGCCCTAACCCCAGCCCATCTGAGCCCAGATATACCAACTTCCAAACCTGTCAAGAAAACACTGGAAGTGTGAACTTTCTGAGAATAACAGTGAGAGAAAAAAAAACACAGGCTGAGAAAAATGGGGATAGTGGCAGCCATAGGAGTGTTACTGCCATTCCCATTCTACTACTGGCTGTGGACATCTCCACAAGCATGGGTAAATTTATGTGGGAAAGGCCAAGACCCTTCAAAAGTAATGGCTTATGTCTCACATTTCTTGAAGCTCTTGCAGTTCATTTCTCTATATTCAGTTTCCTCTCTTTCCTGGCCTCCTCCTCTCTACTTTTATCCACTTTTTCTCTTTGGCCAGTTCCTCAATTTCAGGTCAGATTTTTATTTAGGAAAGTTTTATCTTTTTTAGTGGTTGTATCAAAAGATCCTAACTTTAGCTTAAAGTTTGTAGCTTGAGGGTAGCTGGCAGTAGAATTTGAAGAAAAAAAATTTCCCATTATGTTGTTTAATCATGTGCATAGTTTAGTATTAGAGATGCTTCATGTTGGTGTGGGGTTTGAATTTTTTTTAATTTTTTTTTCATATCTTTAAGTTGTTAAATGTTAATAGTTGCCAAGTGGTTGGTTCTCTCGTTTATGGTTTGTTGAGTGAGATTTTAGTGCAGGCATTATATTTGTTTTTTCATTTAAATTTGTGGGGAACATCAAGATATTTTAGGAGGCTGGTTGTATGTTTCTGTGTATGTTATGTGAGTGCCCTTTTTGAGACGGCCAACAAGATCATTAGAAATATTTAATTTGTTTGAAACCTTTAAGCATTCTCTTACTAGTTTCCTGAAACTTGGCCATTTACTCCTGATTAATACTTTTGCTTTCACTAGAATTTGATTTCAGGAGCCAAAATTGTGAAGTTGTATTATATCTAACATTCCTAGAAAGTAGTATTTGATTGTTGTTATGAACTCTTGAGTGTCTAATGATTGCAGTGACTTGTTCAGTCTAGTTTTGGCTTAATATACAAACTCTTTAGATGCTTGTAATAGTCATAATTTGTTCATTTTAGTTCCAGGCTTACGATAAGGCTGGTTGGATTTGGTCACATATAGCTCTTTTGTTTCGTATGTTTATTAATCAAAAACATTTATTGCTTTTTCCTCCACATTTTTATTGGTTTTGTAATTTGGGTTAGTCATAGCCTCATAGGAGTAATTTCTTGGAAAACTTTGTTTTCTTGAATGATGCATCTTTTCTGCTGTGGGATGCCTATCCTTGGTGTAGCTTGGCAATTTTCTGTTCTCTTTCTCTTTGCATTCATCTTCTCTTCAACAGCTTTAAAGTTCTCATTACAAAATCGACGTAGATCTAATTGTCAACCTAGAAATAGAATCCAAAATCATTTTTAACCTTTAACCATTGTTCCTTAAGTACAAGCCAAAAACACTCTAAAACTGGAGCTTTTCCCCATTTTGGAGTAGCAAATGTGAAAGGAAAAAGATAAATAAATGAGGATGCCAATCCAACCTTTCCCTGGATTTCTAAATACAACATGGAGACCTGTTGTAACTTTACTTGTAAATCAGGATTTATCAGAAGTAGTATCTTGTGCATAAACATTGTATGGAATATTAGTGGAAAACTTGAAAATTACCCTTTAGCAACAGTACATAATAGAAGTAATATATGGTGTTCAAACAACTAACAGAGATGGTAATACCTATCTCAAACTAAGGAAATTACCGGAATCCTGCAAAATGATTGCCCATATGATAAATTTTTTTGCTGAAACTACTGTCATGCGTCTTAATGGAGTAACAGCAGAAACAGACTTCTGTTTTCTCATTTTGCAACTTCAGCAAAGCACAATTGCATGATATATATTTTGTGCCTTGAGGTCCTGTTTGGTATGGTTATTTTGGTCTTTAGCCTATGTTTCTTGAACTTCTCTATTTGTTTGTCGTACTAAAATTGTTACATGCAGGGTGTATCAATTACTTGGTGAATCAGGCATTTACTATGGTGTACGCTTCGGAAAGAACATTCCATGGGTAAAAGAGTTTCCATTTGGCTTTATAAAAGATCCTCAATATGTAGGGAGCATTGTAAGTCTTCTTGCATGTCTGACCTGGGTCCCCTTTCAGTACATTCTTTTGTGGGTTTTGGGCTATTTGTTCATTATACATGTGGAATCAAAGGAAGACCCAGCTACTCGCGCGAAGCCACTCTCATAATTAAAGAGTTGCAGTAGACTGACCAGTGATCAGAAGAATTAAATGGGAAAAAATTTGTCTCCAAATTCTCTTCCAGTGCATCTGCTTCTAGTAGAGTACTTTTTTTATCTTTGATTATTTACTTCGGTTGACATTTTTCTCTATTAGTTGGCTATCGGTAATGACATTGACTCAATCTTTATGCATGATACTTTAGAATCATTTTTTCCGTAGGATGCACATTTTTTTTTTTTTTTTTTTTTTACCATTTAGAAGAATTATTCAACATTTATTGAACCTATGCATAAATGATATTGGACTGCTAGACTCTGAATTTATATTGGACTGCTAGACTCTGAATTTTCTTTTTCCTCTGTGATGCCATTCAACCACGGTAACACTTGTTCTAATGCATTCCTTGTGATTTATTTCCAGAATTTATTATAAATTTTCTTTTTACTGGTATTGCCATCAAAATCAACATTTATAAAACAGTGGTGAGAAGAAGAGAGTGAAGTTTCAATTTAGATGGTTAGAAACTGGTGAGAAATTTTAATTTTGATTCGAGTTGATTTTTAAACATTCTGCAAATTCGGCTTATTGTTCGTACTCCTTTCCATGTAAAGTAACTTATATAGGTGAAGGCATATGTGCTAGTTCACTATCATACTTTCAATTTCAATATACATTTGAAAGTAAGCAGAAAGAAAACAAAATTAAATGAAATGAAAAACAATTTTTTTGTTCAGGCTAGAGCTAGAGATTCAGTAAAAATTTGCATTGCATTTATCACATCCTGAACTTCAACATCTGCCAGTTTTCCTGTCTTAGATGGAACAATAGTGCATTTCTTGTCTTCTGCATTTGGAATAAACAGTCTTCCCTTCAGCTCAGAACTAAACAGTGCAATGCTGCAAGAATGGCAACAAAGAGAAGAGTTATAACTCTCTTTTTAGGTTCATTGAAATGAACGACTTCATCAAAGGGTAAATTTATTCACAGGTCAAGCAAATCAAATGCAGAAGATAGACAAAGATTCTTTCTATAGAGAAGCTTATGATACATTCATGAAACATTGGGGGATGTTTCTGGTGATTTTAGTGACAGTTTCAAACAATTCTCAAAATGTCGAGGGGACTTGCTAACGAATTCAAAACTAATGAACCCTGATTTTATCAAATAGTATAAAGAAAACACAGAAGCATTGAGTTTCTTAGAAAATGAATACAACCTTGGCTTTTCACGTGCAGTTGCTAGTTGAATAGCTGCTGTATTTGTAGTTATCACACCAGCTGAATCATTGATGAGAGCAGCTAGCTGAAGTAGATGAATGAGTGTGTCAACATTATAATTCTAAGGCACCACTTTGTTTACATTTTCAATTTTTTCGTTTTTTGAAAAGATTATTGTTACACATCAAAAAGAGTTCAGGAGCACATAAATACCTGTCCAGGGGTGGTGATGAACACAATATTTGTGTCCTCTCCAACAACTTCTTCCACATTTTCCCTTTCTTTCTCATGTGGAATTACAAAAAGCGGTGTAACTCCCCTGTTTCATAATACATCCAACATTCAAATTCCTTTTTCCTGATTGTAGTAGTCCGTTATCAACATATGACACAGTGAAGAACCAGCGAATTTCAGAAAATCAACAAATTGTGTACCTTATACCCTCGGCTATTTCAGCCCACTTTTGAAGTGGGAGCAAACTATCAGTGTCTCCTCTAGATTGCATTGAGGCCTTTGAATCTGACTCTATTCCATGAATCACAACATATTTCCCTTTCTCCACACCTGCTTTCTTATATTTTTCTGCTACAGCCTCCTTAAGTTTCCTCGAAAGTGAAACTCTCAGTGGGGGTACTGGCGTCCTTGGCACGCTGCGAAATGGTCTCCCCAGCCAATCAACCATCTGCTGGTACCTAAATCAAGCAATCGAATTCGAAAACTGAAATTTTTAATGGAGTATCAGAATTATACAATGCTTTCTTTTGTCTATTGTATTGCAGAACTCACATGTTGTAGCCCCCTTCTGAAAGATTCATACTCTCTGCAGTAAAAGTCTCAGACAGAAGCAAGCCTGCTCCTGCTGCATTTACATTCGGGTAAATATAACTTACTCTATCACGAGCTGTCGACATAAACAAGAATGCCGCATGGCCAAGTCCCGCCAATTTGGTCGATAACATCATGTCATAGTACCTACTCTGCGAATGTGCATAACAATTCAACCCAAAATGGATAGCCCCTGTAAGTTATAATATGCACATTGTGAACAGATTCTAGTTGCTAGTTTGAGATTTCTTCATAACAAAATGTTATTTAAGTTCTTTCCTATGCAACTATGCAAAAGCACACCTTGATTACTCCAACAAAGTCAGTGTACTCAGCAGGATCAGGCCAATCATCATCAGGATCAAAAACATCGGCCCACCTCACATTCTTGTTCATCTCATAAGTCTGTTTCCCTCTGGCTGATGCAATCACATCCACCTGAACTCCAGGATACCTTGCAAAATTAACCGAACACGCAGCAAATAACATTATGATTACGCGCAGTAAAATATTTAAGTTTAAGTATCCCAACCCATTATGTAAATGAAGTGCAAAAGCCAATTTTTATTTACCTAATTAATGAATGAGCAATGCTAGTTTTACAAAGACACATATAAAGGAGGTATGCAAAGACAATCTCAACCCTTGATTTTCATGATTTCTCTCTATCTCTTTCTCTCTTTTCCGTTTTTTCTTTGTTTTTCTCTTCTTGCTGATATCACTTTGTAGCCTTCTTTGTATGGGTCTTTGTAAGGATAGCATTTTTCTTAATGAATTACCTGTCCTTAAGCAACTGAATAGCAGGGAAGAAGAGCAAGTTTTCATAGACACCACCAGAGACAACACAGCAACATCTTCGAACATCACCTCTGATTTTCAAAGGCAAAGAAGCAATTTCAACATTGAATCCCATTGGGAACTTCAAGAAGCCATAAGGGTTGTCAGGATTATCAGGTGGTCTAGGATCTTCATCTTGCTTGCCATCTGCAAACAACGAGCCATACTCCATGTCAGGGTCCTCTCCATCATCAAAAGGATCAAGCCAAGGGTTCTTCTTCTTTGCTTGAGTAATATGAATAGGAAGAGGAGGAGGTGGTGATCTTTTGGAAAGATGGTCTGGTGAGGTAAAGAGTGAAGGTTTGGTGAAATGGGTTGAGGGAAGTGAAAAGGCGGATGAGAGAAATGGAGAAGTGGTTTTGGGTAGTAATGAAGTTGGTGATGCCATTGAGTTTGAGTGGAGTTTGTTGAAGCTTGTTGGTTATTTGACAGTTGTGGACGTTGTCTTTGGCTGAGAGAAATGAACGTGTGGAAGGAGCTTGGATAAGTGGGTCCCCAGTTTGCTCAAGCTCTCTTGCACTTTTCTTTGCCGATTCGTTTCATTTTCTTTCCTCACACTAAAATGGTTAGTAAATAGTAGAATAATATTTTGAAAATAAAATAAACATATTTTGATTCACATTAAACAAATAAAACACATGTTTCAAAGTATATTTTTCTTAGTTAATCAAATTAAATTAAATTAAGCAGTTTCTTACAACAAAAATGCTATAACCATCGAAAAGTTGCACCGAAAAATTGCACCGAAACACGTGGAGACAGCCTCGTTGGACGATTGAATACTGACATAAATGGATGGCCGTCCAACGTTTTTGGATGGTCGTTCATAGTCCATAAAAAGTTGTGTTGTTTTAAAAAAAAAAAAACAATGGACGCCCGTCCAAAAGCACATAACTTATAGCTTTACATATACTGTCATGAAAAAAAAATATTCACTGACTTGTCGGTTTCTTCTGGTTGTTTTGATGATCCTGTACTACCACTACATTCACCTGGCACTAGAAGGGCTAGGTTTAAAAAGTCTTTGCCACCGTCTTGTATAGGACATGGACTTACACTCTCGCCGTCCTCATTGCCAATAGACATGGATTGTAACTGCAATGGGACCTGAGTGTAGTTCTTGGAACCTAAATCAATGGAGTTTTATGCATACCCATCACGTTTCTCTATGTCATCTTTGTCTTTGTTTGGGAATTTCTTTGAAAGAGTCAAAGATTTCTGCACTTTTGCCGTTTCCGCCATTCTTGGGAACATCTTCTCGGCGAACTTCACTTTCTTCTTTGCATTAGGTTGGTTGGTTGCCCTTTCTGTATGCCCTTCTTGTTTTATTCAACATTATTTGGTTGTGTTAATGAAATGATAGTTTGTTTTGATCTTTGATCTGTTTCTGTCTGCCATTTTAATTTTGGATATTATGTTCATCTTTATGCATATTTTATAAGGTTATTGTAAATTTATATGGAGACAATGATGTACTAGCATGTCATTTTTCTAATTATGCTAATGATTTTTGCATATAAAGGAAGTTTTCTTTGGAACGCTCTGTCTCCAGAATTGTGAGTAATCTTATTTGTTTGATTTGAATTTGTGTTATATAGTGGGCACGTTGTTGGGAGCCATGACTGGAGCTTCAATAGGGCAAGAAACAAAGAGTGGATTTGTTTGAGGGGCTGCAGTTGGAGCCATTTCTGGAGCTGTTTTCTCCATTGAAGTCTTTGAATCTTCTCTTGTTCAAGACCTGACTGGAGAATGCCATAGCAGGATCCTTGGTTGGAAAAGTTTCCATGCGATTTTCATACTTCCTTACTAGTTTTTAGAAAAAAAAAAAAAAAAAAAGGAATAGTATGGACGATCGTCCATGAGGAATGGACGCCCGTCCATTAAATATGGACGGCCATCCATACTTAATGGACGGGCGTCCATTCATTATGGACGGCCGTCCATACTTAAGGGATGGCTGTCCCTAATTTTTTTAATATTTTTTATTTCATTTATCAATGGACGGGTGCCCTTTAAATGAGGACGCCCGTCCGTGGTAAATGGACTCCCGTCCATATAATATGGACCGAAGTCCATGTTAATTAGAAAAAAATTATTAACGTAAAACGTGTTGAATGGTTTGAGCCAGCAGACGCGTAAGCCGGTACAAAATTTCGGTGTAAAAACACTGGTGTCTGTAGCATTGTTGTTCTTACAATTTGTAATATTTTATCAAAATCAATAATAAAACATCAAATTTAATAAAATGTGATAACTTATCTTCACTATCAAAGGGGAAACTTTCTTTCTATATTTCATTTTAAATCTATTTCATTTGAGACTCTAATGCTATTAAAGTTAAATTACTCTCAAAGTGGAGCTATCGGCACCCCAGTTATAAGCTAAAGAAGCCACAATACTTAAAATTCCTTATTTGAAAGTTTTAAAATTAATTTTTTTTCTTATGGCACCCCATAAATGTCTTTCATTTCATTTATATATATATATATATATATATATATATTTTAAAACAGTAACATTTTATTCCCTTCACTTATGCTTCATACCTGCTACCCCACACCATCGTTATTATTAAAATAATATTTTGGATAATCAAATTGAAAGTTCAGAAAAAAATTAAAGCTAAAAATATCCTTACAGATAATTATGAACATCATGCAATTAAAAAACACAATATATATATATACTTTGAAGAAAAAATCACAATAAATTTATATGTTAAGCAATTAAAGACTTACAATTTTGTATTGCTTATAATCAGATATATCCCATTGCACATTAAAATTTTTGTTTAAATAATCATGAATAGAATATGTTCTTATAACAATGATACATATATCTCAAATAGCGTGGCAATTTATGTGTCAATTTGAGATTGATTACAAAAAAGTTGTTCACTTATCTCGTTATCCTAAAGTCAAGGTAGTGTTAACACATAAGCAACCACATCACTTAGGATACAAAATTATATTTGTTTAATGTACTTTTTTATGAAAAATATAAAATAAAAATATGTAGTAAATATCATCAAAATAACGCTTTATCAATACTTACCACATTCTTATATTCAATATAACAATGGTAAATTTGGGAATTCTAAACTTATGTTATGATTTATATAATTAAAGATATTTAACACATTAAGAGTTATCACACTATCTTAAAATTATTATGATGATAATATTATTACATGATTAAGAGAACCACATTAGTTAGAGACACAAAATTGAGACCCAAGGTATGGATAGCATTTATTCAAGGCTGAAATACATTTTCGCACCCTAAGTTTGATTAATTAACATTTTCCCACCCTTAGTTTGAGAAACTGTCAACATTATCATTAGTGTCATCCATCGAAATTGAAATTTTGCTGCTTTTGACCATTAAATGTCGGGTAATATTACATTTACAACTAAATTTACAAACTTTCTTTCATAATCCTAACGTGGCAACTCGCAATGGGTCTCGTATGCTCAATTACGAACTAATCAATTACAGGCTGTCACGTCGGGATTGTGAGAGACAAAAATGTCTCTTTGCCTTCATTAATAATTATCTAACTAATACATTTTAAAAATAATCTTCAATGTTCATCCTTAAAATTTTAAAATTTTGTTAATCCATAAACACACAATGGATAAACAAATCTCTTATTGATAAAGAGTTAGTATCAAGTTAATCAAAAATTAAACTAAATCTTTATTGCAACAAAATTTAAAGAGAAGAGAAGTGAAAAGTGTAGATGAAGAAGGAGTTGGTCCTCTAATAGGCATTGTGTAATCGAAATTACAACTTGTTTTTCCGGACTTTTTTCTTTCTTTTTACGATGTTGAACGTTCGAGTGATGACTACTGCATTCTTTCATTCAATCAAATTTTAGAGGTGTTTGAGTTTTAAGAGAATTAAAACTTAACAATAGGTGGAATGTTGATTGTTTCTCAAGCCCAGGGTAGGAATTGTCGATCCGATAAACCTTTGAGTGGGAAGATGTTTTTGAATTTCTATAAAATCTATATTAAAGCCCAACTTCAGATTTAGTTTGGGCTTAAATTGGGTTGGGCTACGTTGTCTATCCATCCACTGTGATGTTAGAAAAATAATATTCAAAAGTTAAATATATATATCATATATATATATATATATATATATATATATAAATATATATATATATAACTTTTAAAGAGGAAAAAGAAAAGAAAAGAAAAAAAAAAAAAAAAAGCATGCAGGGAATTAAACATTAATATCAGAGGGAAATTCTTTAATTGATATTGTCTTTCTATATAGTCTATGAATATGTATATAAACAAATAAACAATTTCAATATGAAGATCACAATGATGACCAAGTTTATTATAGTTTCTTGATTAAATTAAACTCATTTCGCTTTGCTTTAGTTATATTTTAAAAATTGGATTCAATGTAATGGAAGTTTATTAAATTTCAATCACTTTAGATTTGATTAACTGATTTAGAAAAACAATTGCATTTTATACCGTTGTTTGATTTAAGTGATACAATTACATTTTTTTTGTTTTCTAACAATTGATTTAAGTGAAACAATTACTTTTTTTTTTTTTTTAAATCTGGTTTATGTGGGTAGATTGATGAATTTACTTAAATAATTGTTACAACTGTTCTCACCCAAAAAATGGCCCATTGACAAATTCATGCCCACCCACACAATTTTTAAATACCCTTTTAGTACCCAAAATATAATTTTGTTAATAATTTTCATTGTCAGGAAGGGCAAAATGGTCAAAAGTCCATTATTAATGAGGACAGACTGGTCAACAAACATTGGCAATCAGAGAAGAAGAAAAGTAAAAAGGACGACGCAAGTTAGCAGCGTTCACAACCAATGGTTTTTGCCATTTTCTGGTCGATTTTAATATTCAAAATCACTTTCGAGACTACCTATAGGATCCTCATCACCTCCTTTACAAAGCCCAAGCTTCCATTTATTGTCGTCACTCACCATTTCCCACCACCACCTTCATTCACATGGCCAACTCTTCAAGCCGAATTTCCGATTGATTTCTTTGCCATAAATTCCCCCAGAAACCACCATCAAACTCCCCACAACCCACTCTACAAAACCCTTACCTCCATCATCATCCCTTGCTCGCCGATCATCGGTTGTGCACCGCGTGACCTTTCAACTTCCAAGCCAATTTTCAGTCGTTTTTGGTGTCAAAAATTGTCCTTACCACCACCAATCAACATCCTGGATCTTCCTCTCCTAAAGCCTCAACATTCTCGGTCCCGTTTGCTCACCAATCAATGACGATTGAAGCTTCCCCACCGTAGGGTTTTTCGAGTTTTAATTAGATTAATTGGGTTTGATTCGTTCAATTTTTGCGTTTGTTAGGTTGAAATAAAATTGAGGAATGCCTGTTTGCAATATTTTTTAGTCGCTGGCACTCCCCAACGCAGGCAGAAATTGTCAATAATGAAAGAGGCTAAGAAGAGGGGTTTTTTCGTAAATCACTACATTTTCCACCCAAATCAAGGTAAACATATTATTTGGGTAGTAAAAGGGTATTTTAAGAATCTAACGTGGGAACGTGTCAATGGACCATTTTTTGGATGGGAACATGTCATTAATTCTATTTATAAATTAAAATTTTTTCATATTATTATTTCTCCACTGATAACTAGGGCTGCAAACGAACCAAACAGTTCGCGAACGTTCGTTGTTCGTTCGATTACTGTTCGATAATGTTCGCGAACATTTTTTTGTGAACAGTTCGATATTTGTTCGATAATATGTTTGATCAAGTTCGAACAGGGGTTGTTCGTTCGATTATGTTCGCGAACACTATACGTTCGACTGATCCATTCGTTCGCAAACAATCGTTCGATTGTTCATTCGTTTATGTTCGAAAAACATGTTATGCATTATTATAATTTAAATTTTTTTCTTCATTTTTATATTATGTTTGATTTAGGTTGGATGAATTTTTTTTAATGGTAATCAATAATAAAATATTATGATACTTTTGTTTTTCTTATATATATAATATGTTTAGCTTTTTTTTTTCCAACTATCATTAATAATTAAATATATAAGTATATGGCATTTTAATTAAAAAGTAATAAATTATTATGATACATAGCATGACAAATTTAATAACATAATACATTATATAATCAAGTGATATATAATATAGTAAATCCAATACATAATAGCTTCATATTTTTCTAAATGTAATCAATAATTAAATATTATAAGATAGCATTTCAATGAATAAATAATAAATATAGTATGATAAATTGATAAACATAACATATTGTATAATCAAGTAATGTATAACATAACAAATTTAATAATATAATAGCTTAATTAAACCTAAATTAATCACACATTTGTATTGATCATATATTACAATAAACTCTTATACCGTTATGAATTTATAGGTGTTGATACAAAATATACATATAGACAGTAATGATTATATATATATAAATTTATGGGTGTTGATACAAAATATATATGTAAACATTTAAAATATTTATGATAACTGTAGACGTAAAAATCTACCTGTACGGAAGGGGGGTCTGATCCCGTGAGGTTAAGGCCACTAGCGATCCACTGCACCTGCACACATAGAGAAACACACGCGTGAAGCGAACGAGAAACACCGGAGTGGTGTTTGCCGTAGACACTCCGACACTCAAGTCAGCAAGGCTGAGAGAGGTTAATATAGTAAGGGCTAGGGAGTAGAAGTTACCGGAAGTTTAGTCAGGGACTGTGACTACGGTGGTGATGGGGAGCTCTCAAGTCAGAGCTTTCAGTGTGAAGGTGTAATGTCATCTGTCCCTTGTGAGAGGGCCGACCTCTGTTTATATAGTGGTCGTCTGGTCTCCCAATCCTGGTAGAAGTAGGAGTCCTAGTATGACTCTGATGCAAACCCTAGAAGAATTAGGGTTGTGGTAAGCTGTCTTACCAGTGTCCGGATAGGAAGGTGATTCTGATTAGGAGAGTAACTCCGAATAGGAAAGTGATCAGGAATAGGAAGGTGACCTTGAATGGGAGATTGATCAGGAGTAGGAAAGTATTCTGAAAGGGTTGTGGGCTCTGGATTCGCCATGGACCTAGGAAATGGACTGGGATTAGGAGGCTCGTGCCCACGTGGTTTGGGCTGGCTATATCTTGTACCGAATGGGCCTAATCTGGTTGGGTCATATCAGAATTGGGTCTGGCTTCTTCTTCAGTGTCGAGCCCGTTTTCCTATTCGGGCCAAGGACAATTTTTGGCCCTAACAATAATTTTATGTAATGATAATAAATATATGATAACCTATAATTTTGGTAATTTCATAACATATTTAACATATTTAACCTATGATTAATATATGTATGATAATAATTTTGTATATACACAATTACACATTATATATAACAAATTAATCACACATATGTATTGATCATATATTATAATATACCCTAATTTCACTATGAATTTATGAGTGTTGATACAAAATATATATGTAAACATTTAAAACATTTACGTTAATTTATGTAATGATAATAAATATATGATAATATATAATGTTGGTAATTTCATAACATATTAATTATATTTAATTTATGATTAATATATGTATGATAATAATTTTGTACATACTATATACTGGCATGTTCACTCCTTGGAATCCTTTTGGTTGTGCTGTAATGTCTATGCAAAATGCATATTCCTTTTGTTTGTGTCATGTTTGATATGGAACTAAATTTGTTTTGAACAATTTATTATTCTGTTTAATTTATTTTGAAGTTTTATTATTTATGATGGTTATTTATTTTAATTTATTGAGTTTTTATTGATTTATTTAAAATATAAATATAGATAGAGAGTTGGTTTATTTTCAAATGTTGAATTAAATGGGTATGAATTATAAATTGTTGCATATTTGTTTTCTAGGGCATGAATTGGAAAGTTGGTGTATATTGTTTATTCGAACAGGTATTCGAACGAATTATTCGAACAAGTATTTACAAGTTATCGAACGAGTTATTCGAACATGTATTTATGAGTTAGTCGAATGAGTTAGTCGAACGAACACAAACGAGTTACGAACGAACACGAACGAGTTACGAATGAACACAAACGAGCTTTTTGTTAATCGAACGAACACGAATATAAATCCTGTGTTCGTTCGAACACGAACACGAACAATCGAACATGCTTATCGAACGATTTTCGAATGGGTCTGTTCGTTCATGTTCGGTTCAATTGCAGGCCTACTAATAACATTGCTCTTATGACTAGAAGAACCATTTTTTGAAATCTTTAATCCTTAAAATTTGAATGTTGATCCCAACATTCAACATAATGATTGAATAAATCGAAAATCTTTCTCTTTTCCTTTTTATACATGTTTTTACATTTTATTTTATAGTATTTAACTCACACCAACATCTCCAAAAAAAAAAAAAAAAATGAAATTAATTCAAGAAACATAAACAAGATAAATTTCATATCAAAAGCATCTTTTTTTTTTTTTTTTTAATTTTGGCCGAGTGATTCGATAGAGACTCTTGGGTGTATCACTTAAGAGATCATGAATTCGAATCCCTCCTTGATTGTTAATAGAGATAACCACTGGAGCTCTTACTTGATCAATAGTCCCAGTGTCCCAAGGGATTAATTGAGGTATGCATAAGTTGACCAAGATACCCCGAGTCATTAAAAAAAAATATATATATATATATATATATTGTTTACAAAACAATCAGCGGCAAAATTATCTTTTTACTTAAAAGATTCATGAATAAATTATTATTTTTCTTTTATTGCTATAATTATTAAGTTGTAGAAGTATTGTCAAAAACTATGACTTTCTTTTTAATTAAAAAAAAACTCAAATTTTCAATGATTTAATTCTCACAAGTTTTTGTTCTATACATATTCATTTAAGAAACTGTTAATGCATGCAGCATGCAGCCGTAAAATATAAATTATAAATTATAATTTGTAAGATTTGACTACAATCAAGCCAAAGATTATTAGTCTAATCACTAATATTTAAAATCTAACTTCTATTGATTGACAATTCAAGAATGACTGTTGGAATTTTCTTTTCTTTCCAATGTTTATATTTACAAATTACGGAGTATTTTCTGAATCTCCAAACACTCTAATTACCAACTAACTTTGAAATGCATAAAGTTCAACTCATCTACACCGACTTCCATTAATTTAATTTCACCATTTCTCAGTTGAATTAGGTTGAAACATTCTTCCTGAGATTGCAGCCGCCAGAGCTGTTGTGAAATTGGGGTCTTTAGTCAACGAAGTCGCCATCTGCTCCACCAAAAACTTCTTCATTTCTGGTGCTTCAAATCTCGGCTTCACTACTCTGTCATTGCTACTTGACTTTGATTTTGCCAGATCAAATGTGACGGTTGACCCATGAGAGGCTGAGCAGGGGACTGAACCCGCCGCCATGTTCACGCCCCGACTTGACCCCGATGTCGAGTCCATTTGTGAAGGGTGTGGATGATTGTGCTCTCCTTCATAAGTTGCCACCAATACAGATTGATCTTCAACACTTCTCTGAACCTGAAAATTTTTACCAAATTTCACTCAGTAAACTGTAAACTAACTCCAGTTGTGTTTTTAATAATGAAAAAAAGGCCTAAGATTTTGGCTAAATAAGTACCTTCTTTTTTACAGGGCAGCTTGGAGCGAAAGAGCATTTGAAATAAGCTCTGGGAGATGGGTTATCTCTGGTGACCTTTTGCCCGTATTTTCTCCATTGATATCCATCTTTCGCGACCTGTAAAACATTCAAACTTCGATCAATCACATGAACACACTACACAAAAAATTAGTATTTATCATGCTTTTTTTTTTTTTTTTTTGTTATTATCAGAAAGTAATTGGATAAAAATCCGTACAATATTTTTTGCAAAGCCAGTTTTAGTATCAGTTAGTTTCACTGGAAATATGATATAAACAAAATAAAAAGTCTTTTGCGACAGATTTTCAACAAAATCCTTCTGATACAAAAGATGTATTTTCTTGTAGTGACAAAAATTTGAATTTAAATTTTTCGAAAAATTGATCAATATTTTATGCAAAATATGAATGGATTTTAGACTTACAAGGCCCCTATCGGAGGCATCAGTCCTGTAATGGACTCTAGAAATCTTTGGCTTGATGGTTTCTTCTTTTGGTTTCTTGCAGGATTCTTCATCAGTGGAACTGCTTTCAGAGTTTCCAATATTTCCATTATTGTTGCTGTTGTTGTTGTTACTGCTTTCAGATTTCCTCTTCTTTGAAGAACTAATCTCCTTTTCAGGATTTTTGTTCATATAATCAACCAATTGGGTCCGCAAAACATTGTAGTTCTCACACATCACTGTTAACATTTCAGTCAACTTCTTGTTTTCTTCACTCACCCGGTTCAATTCCTCAACTAAAGCTCCAGTCTGCAAATCAAAACACAACAATTAATACCAAAACAAAAAAACTCTCCATAACAAATTAATAAACAGATTTATATATTGAACTTACCTCTTCTTTTACAGAGAGATTTTTTGTTCCCAACCCAGAAACATTGCTTGGCAACTCTTTCTTCTTTGGCGAGGGCGGCACCGGCGGCAGGTGAAGTTCATCGTTGAATAATTTCAGAGGCTTAGTATTAAGATCCAACGAAGTATTAATCCATGAAAAAGACTCCATAACTTCTCGCGATCTCTAAAATAAATTTGCAGGCTAGCTAAAACACGTCTTGATGAACAAAAGTGAAAGCAAGTTTATGAGATTTCCCTGGTGAAAATAAGTTAAATAGAAGCTAAAAGATGGAATTGCAGGAAGGAAACAAGGTGGAAAAAGAGATATAGAGAGAGAGAGAGAGAGAGAGAGAGAGGAGGAGATTTAGAAGATAAGATAAATATGTTAGCAAAGAGCTGGCATGTGCTTGAATTGAAAGTAAGATATAGAAAAGTATTATAAAAGAAAGGGAAATAAGCACAAGTATTTATACAGCATAAGCTAGCGGAAAGTGGGTGACATGTCGGTTACTTTGGTTTGAAAATCTTTGTACAATTGTCAAAGTCAAGCACAACAAAAAGGTTAAAGAAAGATGGGGCTGTTTCAGTAGATGAAGATGAAGATCAATGAATTAATTAATGAATTTTGGAAGGAATGGAAAGTTCAATGTGACCACTGACCAGCTGTTATATTTGTCCATATATTTATTTATTTTTTTCAATATAAATAAAATAAATCAGAGGATTGCTCTATGCCCACGTTTTGAAGCATTTTCCACGTTACATCTTTCACTATTATTTTGTCCAAAGGAATATTTTCTTTTTACAGAGATTTTTTTTTAATATATGTGCATATGCTTTTTATATTATTGATATTGTCTTTTTTAGACTTTTTCTCTTCAATACACTTATCTAATAAGTTATATAGAACTTTAAAATTTAGAGGATTAAATACTCAACTTGTTTTTTTTTTTTAAATAATAATAATTGGTCTTCACAAAAGAAAAAAAAAAATATATCTGTAAAGTGATCATAATATGACATCGTGTTAAAAAAATTAAAAATATTTTAAATCAGGTGTTCATGTTAAGTTTTGGGATTTGACTGTATAAATCTACATATCTTTAATATTTTACGTAAGTTTATTGTGTGATTATATATATATATACACGCTTTAGTCTAAAGTTGAGCATATTTGAATCCCAATTGATATTGTGCTCAAATGGATATGATATTTAGTCAACATGAATTAGGGTGACTTCAATCTTGAAAAATAAGGCATGAACAAGCCATTCTTATGTGTGAAACACATCTTGTTTTAGTCCACTACCGCTGCATTTGCCTTATAGAAAATAAATATTTAACTCCTCTTTGAAAATACCTAAAAACAACACAATATAATATAATATAAAACAAAGAAATTATAATAATTTAATTTCACAGTATATATATAGTGAGTTTTTTCTGTGCTTTTTAAAGTAGAAAATCAAGCACTTGACTTGAAGAATACTCAATTATATAGTATTTTTATTTCTACTAACAATATTATAACATATTGAATATTAACATCTACATATAATTACTATTTACATGTTCTAGTATAAGTAAATTATTTAAATAAAACCATAAACTATCTCGGGGTGACTTACTGGTTTGATAGAGACTCTTGGGTGTATTATTAAAGAGGTTTTGAGTTTGAATTCCTTCTCGATTGTTAGTAGGAATAGTCACTGAAGCTTTTATCTAGCTAGTAGTTTTAGGGTCCCAATAGATTAGTTAAAATACATATAAATTGGTTTGGATACCCTAGATAGTCAAAATTATGATATTTATGATATGTAAATTAAATTATGTTATGAATATCAAATGAATTGATTAGAAAATGGAATGGGGAAAGTAAAGCACAAGTTATCCATTTGACTGATGGGATTTATTGCTTGCTACAGAAAGAAGAGTCAATAAATTAGATGGCGTTTTCTTCAAACGCCGGCCGACATTATAATTGGTATAGTAAATCTTACAAAGGATAGCATTATTTCTTTGAGTGGTCAAGAGAAGAAAAAATAAAAAAATAGATAAAATATTTCACATGCTAAACATACTTCTATTTTTTAATATTTTATGAAGAAAGTTGGGTTGAATCTAGTACCTGGTCAATTCCTACACTCTAAAACATCTTTTTATTTATTCTTATCTAGTGGACGGTGGGTGCTGTGACGGTGAGATCATACAAATGAGATCATTCTCTTCATCACAAATCACATAACTATATATATATANAAGATCAATGAATTAATTAATGAATTTTGGAAGGAATGGAAAGTTCAATGTGACCACTGACCAGCTGTTATATTTGTCCATATATTTATTTATTTTTTTCAATGTAAATAAAATAAATCAGAGGATTGCTTTATGCCCACGTTTTGAAGCATTTTCCACGTTACATCTTTTACTATTATTTTGTCCAAAGGAATATTTTCTTTTTACAGACATTTTTTTTTTTTAATATATGTGCATATGTTTTTTATATTATTGATATTGTCTTTTTTAGACTTTCTCTCTTCAAAACACTTATCTAATAAGTTATATAGAACTTTAAAATTTAGAGGATTAAATACTCAACTTGTTTTTTTTTTTTTTTAAAAGATTAATTAGTCTTCACCAAAAGAAAAAATATATCTGTAAAGTGATCATAATATGACATCGTGTTAAAAAAAATTAATAATATTTTAAATCAGGTGTTCAAGTTGAGTTTTGGGATTTGACGATATAAATCTATATATCTCTAATATTTTACGTAAGGTTGTTGTGTGATTATATATATATATATTTTTTAATACGCTTTAGTCTAAAGTTGAGCATATTTGAATCCCAATTGATATTGTGCTCAAATGGATATGATATTTAGTCAACATGAATTAGGGTGACTTTAATCTTGAAAAATAAGGCATGAACAAGCCATTCTTATGTGTGAAACCCATCTTGTTTTAGTCCACCACCGCTGCATTTGCCTTGTAGAAAACACTAAATATTTAACTCCTCTTTGAAAATACCTAAAAACAACACAATATAATATAATATAAAACAAAGAAATTATAATAATTTAATTTCACAGTATATATATAGTGAGTTTTTTCTGTGCTTTTTAAAGTAGAAAATCAAGCACTTGACTTGAAGAATACTCAATTATATAGTATTTTTATTTCTACTAACAATATTATAACATATTGAATATTAACATCTACATATAATTAATATTTACATGTTCCAATGTAAGTAAATTATTTAAATAAAACCATAAACTATCTCGGGGTGACTTACTGGTTTGATAGAGACTCTTGGGTGTATTATTAAAGAGGTTTTGAGTTTGAATTCCTTCTCGATTGTTAGTAGGAATAGTCACTGAAGCTTTTATCTAGCTAGTAGTTTTAGGGTCCCAATAGATTAGTTAAAATACATATAAATTGGTTTGGATACCCTAGATAGTCAAAATTATGATATTTATGATATGTAAATTAAATTATGTTATGAATATCAAATGAATTGATTAGAAAATGGAATGGGGAAAGTAAAGCACAAGTTGTCCAATTGACTGATGGGATTTATTGCTTGCTACAGAAAGAAGAGTCAATAAATTAGATGTGGTTTTCTTCAGACGCCGGCCGACATTATAATTGGTGTAGTAAATCTCACAAAGGATAGCATTCTTTCTTTGAGTGGTCAAGAGAAGAAAAAATAAAAAAATAGATAAAATATTTCACATGCTAAACATACTTCTATTTTTTAATATTTTATGAAGAAAGCTGGGTTGAAGCTAGTACTTGGTCAATTCCTACACTCTAAAACATCTTTTTATTTATTCTTATCTAGTGGACGGTGGGTGCTGTGACGGTGAGATCATACAAATGAGATCATTCTCTTCATCACAAATCACATAACTATATATATATATATATATATATACACTAAAAGATCTCTAAAATTTTTTTGAAAAAAATTGGAAATGCGTTTTTGATATAAAATTGAGAAAACAATTTTTTTTTTTTTTTTTTTTGGTTTTTCAAATTTACACTAATGTTTAGGGTTGTGTTTGAGGTTTTTTTTTTTTTTTTATGGTTTTTTTTTTTTATTTGTGATCTGGAAATAATTTTCAAAAATTTGAGTACAATTCAAATTCTTAAGTTATATATAATATTTTTAATATTAGAAAATTTGTTTAATATGATATTTAAAAAATATTTTTAAATTAAAATATCTTTAAAAGTGTGAAAACGAGTTTTTATTATTTTTCTAATTGAGTAATGAGTACTAGTTCTTAGGATTGTATCTAAAAGCTGTTTTTCAAAACATTTCTACAAAACATAATCTCATAAATTTTGTTGAATCTCTCTCTCTCTTAAGAAAAAAAGAAATACGTTTAATACGTTATAAATTTTTTAATAAGATTCTATATCAAACAAGTCATAAATGTTCTTATAGAATTTCTAAAGTTGGAAACCCAAGTTTAAAGTATTAAGAATTTTGATACGATTCTAAACCATTAAAAAAGTCAAATACCTACTGTTGGAAAGGAGAAATTGGAATGTTCATATTCACGGTGATGGACCAGACCAAAAATGAAAACCAGGTTGGTTGCATTGAACCTGTAAAATTCGGGGTCTGTCACACGAGTTCTGGTTCATGAATATTGAAAAATTTGATGTCTATATCCAATTAATTAAAAGACTGAATATGAAAACTAATGACCAAATTATTATTATTATTATTATGAATAATCCAATATGGACTTTTCCAACTTCTCAAGGTCAAGGCTGTTACAGCTACTAAGCTGCATGACTTCAAATCTTGGATGAATTTAATTAGTGGGGTCGTTCATATTGCCAATTGGCTTGATTAATTTATTGGGGTTGCTTAGAAGACTGGATTTACTCCATAAATCATTAATAGTATATGTTTAACTAAAAGGGGAAACATCAATTAGTTGAATTTGAATTTTGAAACACGAGGTTTGATACTTTTGATTTCAACTAGACCCTTAATGGTTTGGTCATCCTAAGACGGCCTTATATCAATTATCAAACATAGAATCTAGGGGATTTTTTTTGTCTTTTACAAGGAAATAAATTTTTTCTTCCATTCATCTTTTCTTACTTCTACAAAGATTTTGAAATGCAACGAAAAATCTAAAATATCGTGGAAGTGTTACATCAATCATACTATATATTAATATTTTTATATTGCATCTAGGTAGATGCATTTAAAATTCATGTATGTTGTCCTAAAATGAGGATTTAAATTTTACACTTCACTTTGTCATTATGAAATTTCGTTATAAAGAAAAATAAATTACAAGAATCTCACAAATTTGCTCA